TATACCAAGCATTGAGGTCTCTGCGTTCACATAAAGCATTTTTATGAAGAAGATATGGTGTCTCGCTCAAAATCTCTTGTATTAATTACTTAGATGTGTCCAATTAAATATGTTATATTGCAAAATTCAATGTTACATTGTTTGGGGTGGAAATGTATTGCAAATGAATCTTCAACTAATAGATATTACTCAACCTTTTACTATCCAAGTTAAAATGACTTAATTTCTTTATTACTTTCACTTAGCTTAGTTAAGTAGAGTTTACTTAACTCCACATGTGAAATTTACTTGCCGAATAAAAATTAAGTGAATTGTACTTATTCTTTTTAAACCCCTCCCTGTTTTAGCCTGTACTATTCTGAACAATGTTTGAATCTTGATAAACGTATCAGTCCATTAACTGAGTTTCTTATTGTTATCTCGAGACGCTCTCCTTGGCAGTTAATAATAAGATTATTGATAATATGCGTTTTAATTTTTTATAAATAAAAACTCATTACATAACTAAATCTGTGGTTGAACTCTGCTGAAAATGGAGGCCTAAACTTCTCAGATTTTACCACTCGTAATTACACAATACTACTTTACTCTGATTAGTGTGAACTCGTGAAACTTCCTTTTAAACAATTTTTTAACAAACAGATGCCACCTTTTTTTCACCAAACAGCTGTTTTATCACATTATCATTTATTTCTTGAGAAATAGTTTTTTTATTCAGTTTTGGTGAGCCATCTTTTCAACCATGTTGACATATTCTGCATTCCTCTCTAAATTCCAGTCACTCTAGTTATGCAGTTATGGATGCGGTCTCCTCTAGTCTAAAAATGCTTATTTAAAATACATGTCTTCAGCTCTTTCTATATTCATTGGACCCTGTGGATAGTGTGATTAGTCAAATCTGTTTCTCTCTTTCTATTTAGGAATAATAGTCATTGTGTTCGGGTTTATCATATAGAATATCGTCTCCAGTCCTGCTGTCATTGGTGATGATAGTCTGTTGTGGGATTTGTTTTGTCAAGGAATATCTTTGGGGAAATAAGCCTTTGTTTTTATTGTTTCCACACTGTAAAAAATATTTTCAAGATTTGTTATCACAACATATTTTCTTTTGTCAAATCAACTTTATAATAATTTATTTAGTTGAGATAACTTATTATTTTCAGTTTCTGATGATTAAATTAATCTCCTTCATTGTATTAACTCACTTTTTCCAGTTCAATCAACTTAAAATTTTAAGGCAAACCAGGTTACTTACGTTTTTAAGTTAAACCAACAATATTTTTTTTTACAGTGTAGTAATCACAACATTTTTTTCTTTTGTCAAATCAACTTAAAGAATTTATTTAGTTCAGATAACATATAATTTTGAGCTTCTGATGATTAAATCATTCTCCTTCATTGCATTAACTCACTTTTTCCAGTTCAGTGAACTTAAAATTTTAAGACAACCAGGTTACTTACTTTTTTAAGTTAAACCATCAATATTTTTTTACAGTGCAACAATATTATATTTTAACTGGGTATAACTGGGAACTATTTTTATATTTTTAAGAAACTTTAGCTCTATCTTTTTATTTTGTCCCTGTTTGATTAATAGATTTGTTTGTTTTATTTTCTATGTTTATTTAATGTACACCCCTTCTTCAAAACCAATAGAAAGAAGAACCAAAAATAGTCAATGCTCTTCTTCTACATTAAAACATAGCTGTACTGCCATCTAGTGGTGTGCAACGATTCAACAATCTTTGAAATATGCCTCATTACTGTAATAGCCCTATTTAGACGGGACTAGTTTAACAAGAAGAGTTGGGGTAGAGTAATAATTACACATATATATATATATATATATATATATATATATATGTAATTATATATATATCACAATAAATGTCACTACTTCCATTACCTTGCGGCTTTAAACTAATGCAGCTTTTTGAATTACTTGTTTTTGTTTTCTAAATAATCAGGCTCTTTTAACTTAGGCATTTAAGCAATTACTTGATAGCAGCTTGCATGGCGACACAAAACACCCAGACCGATTTATCCACCACATGCAGCAGTGGCAGCACACTAAAAATGCCCAGAATGCTCTAGTCTAGCATCTCCAGCAAAGTGATAAAAACCACCCAAAACACTTGAGCAACTGCAATGTAGAAACAGCATAGAAATCTCAGGCAACCACCCATAATACATTAGCATTCTGGTGGCAAGTTTTATACAGCTGACTTCATAAAATCTTTTTTAACAACAATAATAAGCTGAGAACAGAACACCCAGATCAGGGTTATTATACAAAAACAAAAACAAACGTTACTTGAAATAAAATAGGCTATCTTAAACAAAAATGGAAAAATAAAAATAAAAACAGTATACATAAATAATGACAAAAAGACAACAACATTTTACTAAAATTAAAAGAATTAAATTCAAAAAATTAATCTATAATAGAACAAATTCAATCTATTTAGAATGCATCTAATATTTTCTATCACAGATCTGAAGAAAAAATGATGTTCTGCTATGTTAATGTTCCTTATTTTTAGCTATTTTCTCCCTCTCTCGAACACACACACATGCAAATGCATTGTGGGTGTCCTGTGGAAAAATCAATGTGTGTGTTCAACTCACAGAGTGGAGGAACTGGCACTATGAGTGTTAGCCTTTTCATATGCTTATCCATGAGAGGCACAGATGGCCCCTTTTCCCGCTATTGATTAAGCTTCTGCTATTAACAAAGAAATAATTACATATGAGGAGCAGGAGCTGAAGGAAACTGACACAGAAACTCATGCCTTCCCGTAAATGCCTCATCAATTAACATCAGCCAAAATGTGAATTTCCGGTTCGCTTTTCTAAGTATACATGGCACATTCTGTCAAAGAGTCAATAAGAAGTGTAAATCGCAGCTTTCTGCAATGACCTCATGAAAGGTCATGTTTACATTTCTCTCCTGCAGCAGAACAGTTTTGACATGCACACAGAGAGGTTTTTGTCCGAATATAAACATACTGTCTTTAATCCAACACAATAGCATGAACGGCTTCGACTTGATGTGGACTTATGCTTTTATATATATATATATATATAATAAGCAACAAGAACATTATTACAGTAAATGTTGCTCCAGTTAGACTGGTGGAGTAAGCCGCACTGTATAACTATCTAAATTATTTAGAGATTGTAGGCAGTTAAAAGATTCATGGTACTGGAGGTAACCTACATATGACATTAATTTAATTTGGGTCACACTAGTGTTCTACAGTGTACAGTAAAAGGCAGCAAAAGTCATTTACAAATGTGTCCGCTGCAGCTCGGTGTACGCAACAATTGAAGATATTAGAAGACATGTTGATGTATGAGTTTTATAGTAAAAATATAGCATATCAACAGTGATCATCAATAACGATAAGCCTATAATAGGCCTACTCCAATAAAAAATAGGATAAGCCTACTCCAATAAAAAATAATTAGAATATATTAGACAGCAATTAGACAGTCTGAATATAATAAATATTGTGTGTATATATATATATATATATATATATATATATATATATATACAATATTTATTATATTCAATTATAGGCTTAATAATTTTATTATATATATATATATATATATATATATATATAATATTTATAATATATTTAACATGCCTGCAGTGCCCAAAATGTATCTGATCGCCACTCTCACTATAGAACGGGCAGGAATCAAGCAGCGAATCAGGAGCGCTTAACTTCTCTGTCGCCCAATCAAAAAAAGAGAAAGGGGCTTCACAATAGCCAATCAGAAAAGAGCACTATTGTATCTGGGTAAGTTTTAACGCAACAACCAATGACAAAAAAGCATATCCTGGAATTGTTCACGTGATTCTGCTACAAAATCAACATCTTCCAAAAGTTTAGTTTACGGTTATCACTGGAGCTTCGAGCAGATATCTTTGAGCACAGAGTAAGTCATGATATCCTATATTAATGTTTCTACAAATTCACAACTTGTTTGACACAAACAATGAGAACTTGACTGCTGTCAGAGAATGATTCCCACATAATTAGTATCAGTTTTTCACGAGGGTCTGTAACAGCCTAGTTTTACAGCCAACACCTGCTCAGAACTAACGTTAGTCTAGGCCTATGTATTTTCTTTATCACACGATGGCTGACATGCCCAGACAACAAATTAGATCGTGCCGACGTTGGGGCGCGCGTGGCTGCCCGACATAAAGTGCCTCGGTAAGATGTCTTATGGAGATCGGTAGCTAATCGGCAAGACATTGGGAAGACGGTGGTTTTAGAACGATCGCCGACCGCGAGCCAACGTATACCCGACATGATCGCCGACCGCGAGCCAACGTATACCCGACATGATCGCCGACCGCGAGCCAACGTATACCCGACATGATCGCCGACCGCGAGCCAACGTATACCCGATATAATTATTATGACCTATTCAGCGCGATCCCAGTAGAGCAGGGAAAACATTCAGACGCCTGCCTCGCTCCCTTTGACTTAATACTGGAACAGCTGATTTTCGTCTGCATCGCTGGAAAGGGCACAGCATGCTTGAAAATCAGCTGTTCCGGTGTTAAGTCAAAGGTAACGAGGCTTCTGAATGTTTTTCGCCGCTCTAGTAGGATCCCACCGTTATGTCTAATTATTGATTTGTTTAGGCTAACTGCTGTCAGATTGTTCCAAGGACACAGGTTGCCTATTGTCTATCAACAATCAATAACAATATGATTTGTTAATCGTAACATTTCTTCCCTAACAATTTTGACAATTGCAATTAAATTGAAATGAAATTGAAGTGAAAGTTAAATTGAAAGTTAGTGATTGTTTGTGTAGGGTGTAGCCTATTTCAAACACAGTCTGACTACCTGGGAAATGTCAGTCTAACATAAAAAATGAATGGATCAGTGATATTAAAATTAAGTTTGATGGTCATGCAAATTAAGCTAGGTGTTTTCCAGGATAAATAATAAAAATGAGAGCACCGGAAGATGACCTTGAACATTTATTTTTTACTTTTGTTTTTGCAAAAGCAGTATCATTTATTTTAACACTCATCAAATCACACATAGAAAAGTACAACAACAACAAAAAGAAATTCCCTCCAAAATAGGTAAACAGGAAAAATCAGTCCAATCAATTATTTCACTTTAAGATGCTCGCCCTCTTGCTTCCTGTCCCTCCTCAGCCGCAGCCAGTTTCTCGCAGTCATCTCTACATCTGCCTCAGTGGAATTTTGTTGGGTAGGATTTCTTAACACAGCACCTAAACGAAACAAAATAAAAAATAAAATATAGCTGCGAGCAGCGATGGCGGGCCCAAGCCGGTGGCACCGCAACCCCGGTTCCTTTAGTTACCTAAAGGCACCCGGGTAGCGGTGCCGAAGGCTTTGGCCCTTTTATGATTAAATGTTAAAACGGCTTGCCATACTCTGTCATTTCGACTAGTCACAATTATGTTACAGATGTCTTAAATGATAATACAAACTATCCAAAATGTAATTACGAATAGACAGAAAGAGGTTGTTGATATCTACAATGTTAATTCCGGACAGGCAAACTTAGCTTTTAAATGTTAAAAGGGCTTGCCATACAGGGACGTAGGCTTAGAGAGAGGCTCACCATATTCAAACCAAAATATCTGACTTCCTCTTGGTCCGAGCTAATGACTATGTATTAGAAAGTTGTCCGGCTTGAGGAGTACAATGTATATACCGATTTTTGTAACTGTAGATAAAACTAACAACCCCACTTTTGTCAAAAGGTGGCGCTATTTAGTCCTTGCACATTGCCCGTTTCTGAAACTTTACACATGTCTACTGGCTAATAAATGTGATGTATCTGTTGAGTTTCAAGCAATTTCAATTTCAATTTGACTGTTGAAAAGAAGTGCGCCGATTAGATACTCAGGATCGGTATCGGCTCTGACACTGCCATCTTTGACGAGGCTGATTCAAATTCTATATTGTGCATATACTATTCTGTTAGGCACAAAGGCACAAAAACTTTCTAAAGTACCATAAAGTTTTTGTGTACTGTATTATTAGTGTTCTGAAGCTATTATGTGATATAGAAATTAATATTTAAGTCATTAAATTCAAGAACACAAACTTTTCCCTCTCTGCGCCTGTCAGTCATTCTCCATTCAGCATTCAAACAGCACGTCACATTCGGTTACAGTCAATGATGAAACGATCTTCAATGATTCAATGTTAATCCTATTATACTGGATCTTTAAGATAAAGGTCTAAAGGTCTATATTTTCGAATGAAGAAACTTTTTCTTGCTGGACTTTATTGCTGTAACTTAATCGTGTTACTTTCTACCGGGTGTCGGACGCTGTCGGTTAGATCACAACACTAGAGTCAGAGCACTATAATTGTTCTTCACGCACACAGTAACTGAAATTTAAAACCTTTAAAAGAAAAGGCTCAATAAACTATTGCATAGATAGATAATGTATAATACACTGTTCATAAATATGTATTTCCTTTGTGCTTTGAACTTTTCAATACGGACTCAATGCGCTGTAACTTCATGTGGCTTCAAGCACATCATTCTCCGCTCGGGATGCACATAAGTGCTTTGTGCTGCACCGTATTGGAGCCGTAATATCATAATGCAGTGACGTAATGACAGATTATTAATTGCCTTTCAATTATATGTTGCTTTATAGCAGCCATGGCTATATTTTTTTTTTATGATTTTTGTTATCTTGTTTTTCATGAATGTATTTTTCAAAAATAAGAGCAATGTGTATTATCTATTATTAATATGGTTTATAATAGCATTTTTGTCATAGATTATGACAAAGTAATCATATGATCCACCAGCGAGGAACCAGCAGAACAGAGTGAACATTCTTTCTGTTTAGTTCAATCCTACTTAATAGGAATTTATTTAAAATGCTCGCTCTACTCCACACCATTAATGTCTTGTGCGGACATCCGTATTTTGACTTTCGGTTTTAAGTAAGCGATTTAAAAGCTCCCAAGTCCCAGCGGAGTCACACGTTGATTAACCGGTGGGAATATACACAATAGGCCTACCTGATATTGAACACAAGAGGGCAGTATAGCACTACGTATGACTCAGATTATTATTTTTTTATGAATTTTACAACAATTCTGGCTGTTTTTGAACGTAAACACAATTCTTAAATGAAAAAAAGGAAAAATTGGGGAAGTTATAATATTTGTATAATTTAATTTAGAAACAAATGATGTATAATTACATTTTTAGAAGATATGAGGCTTTTAGTGTTTACTTTTTTGACATTACTTTAATCTTTTGCCATAGTTGCACATGTCTATTGGCTAATAAATGTGATGTATCTGTTGAGTTTCAAGCAATTTCAAGCATGCTAAGAGTCCCAAAAGCATCAAAAAATAATGTTAAAGTTTGTTTCGTTGCCACGGCAACAGTATCAAAGATATCAAAAATTCATTCACAGGTCTACATCTGCCGTGTATTTACATCATACAGATGAAGTTTAAAGCAAATCGGTTAAAAATAAGAGAGTGATTTCAAAGCATTTTGAAAGTGACACACTTCCTGCTGCCAGTTGGTGGCGCTATAACTTTGACTCACAATAGTCACATCCATGTGATCGGTCTCTTACAGCGAAAACACTGCTGAAGTTTCATCAAGATCAGTTAATGTATGCTGAAGTTATAACACACATCCTGTTCCATGTTTCTCGCCATAATTTCGTTTCCTCGCCACGGCCAAACCGTTCGAGATATCAAAAATCCCGTGGCACTTTTTCATCCTTAATGTCTTGACTTCACGCTGATCGAGTTTCGTCGAATTTGGTTCAGTGCTCTAGGAGCAATAATTTAAATTACATTGCATGTGTTTTAAACACAACCCTAAATAGCCGACTTCCTGTTGGGCTGGGGTAAAAAGTAAGAGTGTGAAGTATATATGAAACGATGAGATCTATACGTGTACCAAGTTTCATATTATTACATGCAAGTGTGTTTGATTTATGGACCAAATTTTCAGACCAAGTTTATTGACCAAGTTAATCTGATTAATAAACTAATTATATAAAACTATTGTCAATTCACTACAATTAAACTAGTTATATGCCTTTACTTATAAAAAATAAAAATAAAAACTTATTTAAAAAATACCAGGCTTGAGAAATGTATTTTCTTTATGCAGGTCATACACACAGCAGTGAAATGGTTAAGCCCCCTCCCCCTGCACACACACACACACACACACACACACACACAGACAGCCAGCCAGCCAGCCAGCCAGCCAAAGACACAGAGACACAGAGACATGTAGGCTCAGAGTGACGATATTCAAACAAAAATATCTGACTTTCTGTGGGTCCTAGCTAATAAGTGTCAATTAGAAAGTTGTCCGGCTCGAGGAGTACAATATACATACCAATTTTTGTAACTCTAGTTAAAACTAACCACCCCACTTTTGTCAAAAGGTGGCGCTACTGAGCCCTCACCACGCCCGTTTCTGCAACTTTGCACATGTCTACTGGCTAATAAATGTGACGTGTCTGTCGAGTTTCATGCAATTTGAAGCATGCTAAGGGTCTCAAAAGCATCCTAAAAGCATCCTAAAAGAAGGGTAAAGTTTGATGCGTCGCCACGGCAACAGTTTCAAAGATATCAAGAATCCATTCACAGGTCTACATCTGCCGTATGTTTACATTATACATATGAAGTTTGAAGCAAATCGGGTAAAAATAAAAGGGTGATATCTAAGCATTTTGAAAGTGACACACTTCCTGCTGCCAGTTGGTGGCGCTATAACTTTGACTCACAATAGTCACATCCATGTGATCGTCCTCTTACAGCGAACACACTGCTGAAGTTTCATCAAGATCAGTTAATGTATGCTGAAGTTATAACACACTTCTTGTTTCACGTTTCTCGCCATGATTTCGTTTCCTCGCCACGGACAAACCGTTCGAGATATCAAAAATCCCCTCGCAAACTTTCATCCTCAATGTCTTGACTTCACGCTGACCGAGTTTCGTCGAATGTGGATCAAAGCTCTAGGAGGAGTATTTGACATTCCATTGCGAGCGTTTTACAAACAAACCTCAATAGCCAAATTCCTGTTGGGCTGGGGTAAAAAGTAAGAGCGCGAGGTATAGATGAAACGATGAGATCAACGTGTGTACCGAGTTTCATATTATTACATACAAGCGTGTTTGAGTTATGGACCAAGTGTTCGGACCCCGTTCCAGGGGGCGCTGACGAGCTGCCCTGCCACGCCCGGGTACCATCTTCAGCCCGGCTCTGATGGCCGCGGGTTCTGACCCGTGTGCAAAGTTTCAAGAGTTTTCGAGCACGTTAAGGGCCCCAAAAGTGCCCAAAAGGTAGCAAAATAATAATAATACTAAAGAAGAATAATAATCCCAAGGAAAACAATAGGGCCTTCGCCCTTTCAGGGCTTGGGCCCTAATAAAGCAAATTTATACTTTTACTAATTTAGTCTGATGTTCTGAGTAAGAAGTGCAGTAGCATACATTACATATAAAATATCGTACCATTGTTAGTCCTCTGAAGGATCCCTGGAAAAGGCTGCAAAGCACACAGGCCGTCATTATTATCCGGCGGCGTCACTAGAAAATAGAGAAAAAACAAATTATTGGAGTGAACAGTAAGTCAAGTTTATCACAATTATATAAACTAATGTCAGTGAGCTGAGTAATAATTGCCACACATTTCTATCAGCAGCAACTCATCTTAACCCATGTCAAAATAACAGAGCTAACCCAGTGTCACTCCACATCAGTGGTTCTCAAACTTTTTCTGTCATTCCCCACTTTGCATAGAACTGTGCTGTGCTCTATATGTGTTAGTGTGTGTGTTTGCGAGTGTGTGTCAGTGTGTTCTTTGTCTGCGTCTTAAATAGCTTACAGTCAGGAAAGCCTTCAGTCTATGGAAGCACATGGGTAGCAATATTCAATTTGAATGAAAATTAATTTCATGATTTAATTTGATTAATTTCATCGCAAGTGTCTTGACTGTGAGTGTAAACGCAATTAAGAAAAGTAACATTTGAATGATCATTAAATTTGCCACAGTTTTTGCTTGAACATGTTACACATATCTAATCATTTCTGTAATGCATTTTCATTTTCATTTTGACACTTATAAAGCATTTCAATATGCATATTAAAACTAGTGTATGAAATGGCAAATGTAAATTATGTAATTTCATTTTCATTTTGCAACAAACGTTGCTAGAATGTAAAATATAAATTTAAATACACAATGCAATGCCATTTTACATATTGCATTGTCATTTTGCATATTACATTTCAAATTGAATATTGCTACCCATGTGCTTCCATATCAGTCCTCCAGTCCTCCTTCTTGAATATTAACTGCGGCCTCTTGGAAAGACAGAAAACCTTGGCTAACTTATCACACTACCAATATAAACTCCAAAATCATATCTGGAACACCAAACTATGGTATGCGCTGTGGACCTGTGCAGTACACTGTGTCTACTTGAGTTTAGGGACCTGATGCAGTTTACAGAGGGGACACTTACCTTTACTATACGATGATGTGGGATGGGCTGGAGGAGATTTGTCGTGCGTTTTCTTCTTCTTTGCCTGTGTTGTTTGTGGTGCATTTACTGTAGGGTGTCTGATGAAGGGCACGATTTAGGGTGTCTGATGCAGGGGATGGTGGTGGTGATGGTGATCCAAGTTGCAATGGTCTGTAAATGAAACGTTTTTACAAAGATTATTTATCATATTGATCACATCGAACAGAGAGAAATATGACATGGGTGACATACTCTGTGTGATACAAAGAGGATGATCAAAAAGTCAAAAAACATATGAAGCTCACTGAAATTGGAAAACATTTTAAATATACAAAATAAATGAACAAAACAACCAAAAAACAATAAAAGCAATGTCCCGGTTAACAGAAAATGCACTTGAATAAATAGCCAAAATACAAATAAAATGGTTGTAAACAAAACCCGACCATACCCTAAATTATTTGTTATTAAAACATTAACACACAAACCACTGTTAATTTAACATAAAGCAAGCAGCTACTGCGTGCATTGTCTGGCATGACTGAATGGGCTCCCTTAATAATTCCAAAAAAGCTGACAGTTCATCATGATCTCACACATCTCTGTTATTACCAATAAGGCTGACTGCACAATGAATCTCATATAATATCTAGGCTACACTTTGTTTGTTATAATTAGAGGATTTGCCAGCATACAGAATTCATCACTGAATAAAAAAATCTGTTTTGAGCAGTGAGGGAAGTATATCTTAAATGCTTCTGATTGGCGTTCAAGAAATCAACATGTGATTGGCTACATCGCTCAATAATGCAAACATGTTATAAATAGAAACTCTAGCCTGCTTACTACTTTGTTTTAGTTGTTCTTGCAGATGACTAAAAATCTATTAGTTTTTATATGTTTTATAAATAAATATTTCTAGTTTGCGGGAGTACCGCAAATCGGTTTATTCTCCCGCAACCCGCACACACAGAGTGAGTGCATTACCGCTTGCACTCGGCCATCGAATCTAGTGCAGCGCCGCACTCTATTGCGTTGGGAGTGCACGTCTCTAGATCTAAGGCCCGACCCGAGGATAGTGTCAGCCCAGGTCGGGTCAAGTCCTTGCTCGGGCAGAGAATCTAAGCTCTAGTTCACGCTAAGGAACCGAGAGTTTGTCATCCAGTCTCTTTGGTATAGAGAGACAGAGAGAGACGACGAGGAAAATAAACAAGCATGCAAATGTAAATTATCGTGTCCAGAAAAATTTGAGTTTGCCATGCCTCTATCATATTTGCTGAGTGACAAAAAAAATACCTTTTATTGACAGTGATAGACAGTTGACAAATATCTATACCAACATAAACATAAAATTTGCAACGTTACAGCACTCAGCATTAACCTGATGTTGACAATGGAGTTCTCCTGTAGCCTTATTTAGGTCAAAGATAAATATTTCCACTACATTACTGCCCTGGCCTACCTGTAAACCATTCCTTTGCTACTAGTCCACTCGCTCCACTATAAGGTATAGGCTTTCCTGATGCAAAATTAATAGTACAGACAGTAAAGGCAGAGACAGGTAAAGGTCACATTTTTTAGGATCTTAGGATGCCAATAATCAAGACAAGCAAACAGGGGAAAGTTATTACATACGTGTGTATCAATATGTGAAGACCCTAGAGATGTCCCCTACTCGTCTCAATCCAGATGGATGTGGTGCTGGTCCACTGGGAAGACCATACTGTAGTTCCAGCCGTCGTGTGTGCTGACGCGGCAAGTACACTGCAGCCGTAATGCCGGACAGAAGGGGAGTCACACCAACATATGGAAAGAAGTGTAAATGGATGGAGAAGCATAGTTTACTATAAAGCTACGCCTTAGTTTGTGCTAATCTTGGCGAAAGCCGAGTACAAATCTGCATGAAGTTTTAACATCTACTCTCGTGTAATGGAAATCATGTGCAAAATAACTTTTAACTAGATTAGTTAAAGATAGTGTTTCAGTTGTCTTTGAGGTCAATTAAAACACATACTTACTGTACAAAGGCAAAGACGCTGTGCAAAATGGGCCTGGGCTCTGAAAAGAGCCTTTGGGGTGTATGTAGCTCCTGTTGAGAAAAAGACGAAACATGAAAAGGAGTCAAATATATTGCAAATGCCTTTGTGAATTAATGTGCACTCAATTTATCTTTATTGACTAAAACAGTATGTTAAGAAAATGGCAATTCAGAACTGTAGGATGACTTCTAGATCAATCACTCACTGAAAAAAACAGAAAAGACCATTCTATTTTGTTTAACAAAGGTTAAGGCTCTATTTTTATGAATAGCTGTGTGTCTTACTATCACTTTACTATAACCACTTCTTTGTATGACTGTCTAGTGGCATGCGCGCTTGTACTAAACTAGGTCTTTGATTGACAGGTCTACTTTTCACGGTAAACGCACAATAAAAGACCTGCTTTAATTTTAAGCATATGTCACTTAAACAAAATAATTAAAAATCCCTTGAGTGTAAGGGGTTAATATTATAAATGGACAGATGTATGATTGTTTGGAAAAAAGTCAGTCCATAGTTTTATGACCGTTTATTAGTTTAGCCTGGTTGTTTTAGGTTATCCTCAGACTGACGAAAAACGAGTTCCCCTCATGTCTAAAAATACATAGGCTACTGTCAAAAATAACTAATTGAAAATATTTAATGCGAGAACATAAAACAGTCAGTTAATAATTAAAGTCAACAGTTAGAAAATGACTGTTGATCCTCCGCCGCTGTCATCCGTATCGTAAACATTTCTCAGAAAACTCGACGTTTTCTAACAAAATTATATTTTTCAATGAAAAAATAAGTACATAAAACAAAATAAACACTTACTGGCCTGAAAACGGTGTGTTTGAAAAGGATAAACATACTCACAGAGTCCGTTGCTGTAGACTTAGCTGTAGGCTGTAGTGTAGACGATGCTGAGATCACTCACGCGCATAGCGCACCGTCATAAAAACGTGTGCACGCGCGTGAAGGTCTTGATGTGGACCAACGGTTGCGCAGATATTATTTATTTAAAAAAATAGAAGCGGGATCGGCAAAATGGTTCATCACGGTTCCTCCACCGATCTCCGGAGTTGTGCATGAAAGTGGCTATTCATCCCGCGGCCCGCCGATGGTTTACCCACCAAAGTTTTTTGTTGTGCAGGGGAAAATCCCCTCCCGATACTTTGCCGCTGGTGCCCTCCAATTGCCAACGTCGGCAAGACGTTCAGTGCTATCTGGGTGTTGTCACATTACAAACATCTCTCTCTCCAAATAGGCTTAAAGGGTAACTAAACACCAAAACAACTTTTTTTTAGTTAATGATCTGGTAGAATGGAGCTTCATTAATGCTGTTCATTGATTCGAGTACATTTTTTGACAATCGAGTATAAAGTGTTTTCATTTTCAAATATATGGTGTAAAAACGTCTGAGTGCTAGCACAATTTTACTAGCACTAAATAAATTAAAGTGTATTGCATAGTTGATGTTATAGTTGACTTTTAAATTAATGTTATATTTTGATATTGCATCTTTCTGTCAAAGCAATCATGAGAGGAAAGCCCTCTAAAAAGACCAGATTAGAGGATGCTAGCCCAGAGAGGGTGGCGAAAAGGGTCGGCCCATTAGGTAAAGGAGTCCAAAAAGGCAACAAACACTTACAATAAACAACACCAGTCATAAACAACACTTAAAATAAAAAACACTAGGCATAGCCAAGTCGGAGGTAAATCCTCATTAGTCCAACTGTGGTTCACAGATGACGCGGTAAATTCGAAGTCGGCCAGTAGGCGGACAGACGCAGGAGCTGCTCCCTCCCTCTCTCCCTCTAGACTGGGTCAAAACAAGCCATCCTCCAGCCAGCAGGCGACGGGAGCAGGGAGAAGCATGGACAGCCGGAGTAACACAGATGTCTTCCCTCCGACAGAGACAGTGAGCGTGAGATTCTTCCATCGGATATTCTCCTACTTCACGAGAAGGACAGTACTGTAAAGTAATGCGCATACTAATTTCAGTCGAAAGATGAAATGCTTCTCCCGGTACCTGCCTTACATCTTCAGACCACCGAGCAGCCTCCTCTCCTCCAGCTGTCACACTGAGGGTGAGTGACTGTTCTCGCTTCACACTGACACTATGTGATTGATGTGAGTGGAGATGATGAACTGTGTAAAGTGCGAGCAATAGAGTGTTCCCTATACATTATGTTTGTTGATATTGGATCGGATGACGTTAGGAACGCGGGCTGTGTCTAAAAAACGTAGCGAGCGATCTACCTAGACAACATTTTGGGTCACTGTAGGGGCGTTCGTGTCTACATGTATGATGCCCTTAGACACAGTGCTAGTCTAGACTCTATTATAGGCAGTATTGTAGATTTTCGAACACACACTGCAAGTATTCAGTAAAACTAATGAAAAAGGCATATTCAATACAGTGCAAAATGTTTTGTAAATTAAATGGTTTTATTGTTGTAGAAAGAAACTGCATGTTTTTACCACTTTCTAGGCAGGTTACTAGCCTATAATTTGACCCGCAACCACTGCCCCAGCTCACACTTTACATTACAGTTCTAATGTTAGTCTGTGTATACTTGATTAAGTAGTCTTTCCTGGTAATTTAACCCATCTCTTTTGCATTGCTAGTGAACATACAGTACAATGCACTGCAATACAATGATGATTGAGAAATCTACAAATAAATGTTCCTCAAAAGCCTGATGTATCATATTTGATACATACATTTTAACACTTTTTTTTCCCCAAAACAAAATGGATGGATAATCAAGTTGTTTCAGTCCAGTAAATGGTCATCTTGAAATATTACTAATAATATAAGAAGGACCAGCAAAATAAAGTGTTACCAAGTTCTTATGTTTACATTAACGCCTGCAGCTAAAAGTCGTGTACCACGACCTGGTGGACTTTTATAGAATTATATTAAACGGCCTTTTATTTACTAAAAAGTATAAACGATCAATCAGATGACAGAAGGCATGTTGTAGATTATGTGCAACAGGTTTTGTCAGCAAAGTTTTGATCATGTTCATAATTTAGAGTTACATGAGACAGGATTTATATCTAAATTTAATATATTCCAGATTTAATTATTTAATAATGAATATGATGAATCAGTCTGTTTATTATAGCTTGCACCTGCCCTAGCAATTTAGCAGTTTTACAGCTGATATTTACTCCACAGAGTCTCAGTGGATATGTGGATAAGTTTATCTCCATGTCAATGGATTTTTTTTATTTTATTTTATTTTTTAGAATGTAAATCGGTCTGAATTAACTAAACTTTATACGCAACAGAATGTGTCTTCCGGGCAAGAGCTTGTGCTTAGTCACACACATTTACTTCTGTCAGAAATTATTTCTATTAAAGGAGTATTTCACTTTAAAAAAAACTTTTGCTGATAATTTACTCACCCCCATGTCATCCAAGATGTCCATGTCTTTCTTTCTTCAGTCGAAAAGAAATTAAGGTTTTTGATGTAAACATTGCAGGATTTTTCTCCATATAATGGACTTCAATGGGAACCAAACGGTTCAAGGTCCAAAATACAGTTTTAGTGCAAACTGTTCAAAGGGCTTTAAACGATTCCAGACGATGAATAAGGGTCTTATCAAGCGAAACGATCGCTCATTTAAAAAATAAATAACAAAGTTTAAGTTTTATAAGCTCAAATGCTCGCCTTGCTCTGTTCTGTGACGCACGTTTGTGACTCTCCTGTTCGAACTCGTTTATCAAAATGAACAAATCTTTTTCCGAGTCATTCAACTAACAAAATGAATGAGTTGACTTGGAAAAAAGATTTGTTCGTTTTGATAAACAAATTCGAACAGGAGAGTCACAAACGCGCATCACAGAACAGAACAAGGCGAGCATTTGAGCTTATAAAACTTTTAATTGAGTTTAATTGAGAAATGAGGATCTTTTCGCTTGATAAGACCCTTATTCATCGTCTGGAATCGTTTAAAGCCCTTTGAACAGTTTGCAGTTTGCACTGAAAGTGTCTTTTGAACCGTTTGGTTCCCATTGAAGTCCATTAGGAGAAAAATCCTGGAATGTTTTCATCAAAAACCTTAATTTCTTTGACATGGATATCTTGGATGACATGGGGGTGAGTAAATTATCAGCAAAAGTTTTTTTTAAAGTGAACTACTCCTTTAATTGCATAATGTTTTTTAAACTATATGTTTAAAAAAGCCAGTTTTCCTTGCACAGACGTTTCCTCACTATTTATTTATTGATTGATTGATACATATATATATATATTTAATAAATATTTAATTTAATATAATTATATTGAATCTATTTATTTATTTATATCACACACACGCACTCTTACCCTTATGGAAGCACAAAATTGCATTTGCAATGATGTAGTCTGGATCATATTACCTTCATATCATACCTCTTCTGTTACCTACTGTATATATAGGACACTGTGAACCTAAGGGGGAAATACCTCTCTTCAAACCTTGCTGGTGCAGCAGTCGAAGCACTAATAGATAAACCTCTATAGGGCCCTGTAACAATAAGTGTTGAGTTTCTGCCCGGAAAGAGATATTTCATTACAAGCCCAGCTCCAATAACAACCTCCTGTAGCCAACATATTGGACATGCAATACCATTCAACACCTGCAGCTACACATCTTTTTCTCCCATCCTCTTCCTTTCACTCGCTGTCTTTCATTTTCGTTTCTGTCCTCTTTCATCCAGAAGATGTAAACACTGGGCTATCATCATTACATGCCGCACTGTGGTTCTTCAGAGTCTTGTGAAAGATTTCCGTTGGCTGTCTGTCTTCATGCATGATTCTGTGCTCTCATCTCCTGCTGTCTCCATCTGTGTCTGCTGCTCCAGGCTGGATCAATTGAATCTTAAAAGGTTTCAGATCCCATGCTGGCAGTAATGTATTACAATACTGTATTGTGAGGAGTTAAAGGAGAACTCCGGCGCAAAATGAACCTTTGGTCTAATAACACATCGGTACCTAGTCGACCGTTCTATGAGATTTGTTTTCATGATTGCCGAATGTAAAGAGTTTTATCTCTAAAAACTGTTTAGCGTAACGCTAGTATTATAGGGCATTGAGTAATGAAACAGTAGTTGGCGATGTCACTTCGTAAAGAAATTTTACATGGAGATGATAGTATCATTTTCAAAAACTTGGACTTCAAAAAAACGCTCTTGTCATGTAATGACCAAATCGCATAAAAAGTTTTCGTTTTTTAGTTGAATTTGGTATTGTATAAAGTGTAAACACGGAACAATGAAGATAGGAAACAAAACAATACCACTATTTTCTCGGTGTAAACTACAAAAATGTAAATTTGTGAAAATAGTCATGCGCATGAGTATTACGTGTTCAGTCTAAAGGAGCGTATGTTTTTTTTTCTTTTTACAAAGTGACATCACCAACTACTGGAGTAAATATAAATAAAGCATTTTCGTGGATCCGTGTGAATAGGGATCATTGGGCTTTTAGGCTTTGGGATGGGGTTGAGTTTCAAACAACACTATCAAATTATAATGATTTGATTATAAGATATGATCTGATTTCAGATGTACTGTAGTTAATGGTTGGGTCTGGGAAAGTGTTTAGTAAGTGTACCGTTAGTTGCTTTGTATAAAAGCATCTGGTAATTGCCACAAAGCATCCTACATTTGTGTAGAAGCAGAGTAGAGGTTATTGCATTGATCCAGCCCAGAGTGAATGCGCAGTATACATGTTAGCAGCAAATGCCTGGAATAACACTTGTGCGTTTATGAGAGAGTGCAGGGATGTAAGAGAGAACAGGGAGAATCTATGAAATCAAGCTTGGGTTTACATAATTGTGTAGAGTATGAAAAAGGCGGGCAACCAGCATAAGTAGTGTGGAAGTTTTTAGACTGTACGTGAGATGTGAAGTAAAAAGAGAGTTGACTTGACAAGATAAGGTGATGAAAAGTAAAGTATCAATCGGAGTGAAGGAACAAGATTAAGGCTGTGTCCACAAAAGCTTTTTTAACCAGCTGAAAAACTCTGCTGAATATGCTATATATATATATATATTTAGAGCCAGACCAATATAATCGGCCGATATTAGGCATTTTCCAAACTATCGGTATCGGCAGTTATAATGGCCGATAAATGAATATTTCAAAAATAAAATAAAAACGGACGAAAAACGCTTGAACCATGTCATGAGTTTTGTGTAGTTTGTCCACCAGAGGGCACTCTACACCGT